GACTCTGTGGTATCTTTTATCTCAAGCTCAGTAGGATATATCCTGTCGACATAAGAATGGAAATAACCGTTGTTAATTGACAATACGTCGTCGATATATCTAAATTTGATTTGAAGGCCACAACAAGCGTTTTCTTCTTTTCTCGTAAAATATTTTGAACAAATTCTGCTTCATATGAATACAAAAATAGGTCTACTAATAACGAGGCGCAATTGGTACCCATGGGAATTCCAATAGATTGTTGGAAGACCTCGTCTCCAAAAACCACATAGATATTGTCAATGAGAAACTCGAGCATCTTTTTAATGTCAACTTCAGAGTACTTGTGTGTACAATCAGATTGTTTTTTGACAAAGTAATTTTGCAAATGACCAATGACAAGGTAAGTAAATTTACGAGTTCCATTTTTATTGAAAAAGCGGCTGTCAACGATGTCAGAAAGTCTGGACTTTAATTTATCGTGGGGAATAGTTGTTTATAAAGTTGAAAAGTCGTAAGTTTTTATGTTGTTAATTTTGGTAAAAATTTGCGATTTCAAATCTTCTAAAAGTTCCTTTGATTTTTTTAGTATCCACATCTGATTTACACCACTTCTCGAATATATTGTTGCACAGTACTCTTGAAGTTTCTCCTTCACTACTGTTAATGTCTTAGTGAGGAGCTATTTGAGGCGTATAGCAACAGAGGCTTACAGCGTAAGTATATTTTTGTTACAAGTTATAAAGATATTTATTTGGCTTTTTAAAACATTTGAGGGCTATATCCCTCATGTCAATTTCGATTCGTTGTTTTAAAAGCATTTTTGCCCATTCTTTAGCATGTACTCATGCAAGATTGGATGAAAAGAGTTGTTTTAAAAGACGACTCGATATATCCCAGTGAACTTGAAATAAAAGACACCACAGAGTCTGACACATCTGTTTCATATTTGGATATTTTATTAGAAAAAGATGTTAATTTTAATCTAACAACAGAGCTTAATGATAAACGTGATGACATTAACTTTTCAATCGTCAACTTAACTTACTTATGCACCAATATATCATTATCAACTGCATATGGGTTGTATATATCTCAGATGATTCGATACTCAAGAGCATGCTGTACGTGCAAACAATCAATAAAACGAGGCAAGCTATTAACAAACAAGTTGATGAAGCAAGGGTATCAACAATTTCAAAAGTCAACATTCTGCAAGTTTCATGGTCGATACAATGACTTCGTCAGCAAATAGAGTGAATCTATCATAAAGTCAAATGCTGACATTCATTTTTCATATTTATTGTTAGACAATTATTTACACACTGAATTGTATACGGATTTTTTCTCGTTTACCCGATCATAAGAAGGAGCACACGGCGGGTGCGACCAGTTGACAGGGGATGCTCATTCTTCCATGGCACCTGATCCCACCTCTGAGGCTTTTAGAGGTTCGTGTTTGCTCTGCTCCCGATTTGTATTGTTTGAATGGACATTTGAGTTTGATTACTGTTCATTATCTCCATATTTCATTTAACATGATCATTAAAAAAGAGTCTTCGAAACTTATGTGGATGACCAAATCCCTTTAAATTATGTGTGAAATTCTTCAGCAATTGATGTCTGAACTGAGAAAACTTTGAACTTATATCAAGTATTATGACGTATAATAAAGAATGGTAATTGATGTCTCTTAAAAGCATGAATATGACAAAGGACATTTTGGACAATTTTTTTTTAACAGAACATTTCCAGAAATTAAGAGACATCATAACGATACCAATGATGGTGCTAGAGATGATCTTTTTAAATTCCCGTTTAAATGTCTGATGGTCACCATTGACACGAATATGCTATTATGGAGTATAGACCTTAACAGTTTAATAAGTTGTAATATTATTCTCTCCCACATTATTTTATTTGAAATAAATTGAAGAATTCCTTAACATTATATTAGACCAAGATAAATTGAATACACGATTTGCTTGTATTTTCCCAATTTAAGTTCATGATTTCTGTACACTAATATTTCATTGCCTTTTTCCATTTTCCAGGAGGAATATGGCAGTGCCTTATGTTTGAAAATGAACTACCGGTACATAAAATCAACATGTACGCCTTTGTTTAAAACAATAATTTAAGGTCCAAAACATTTTCCTTATTGTTTAGAGCTTCCTAAAGTACTCTCGATCTCTATACACTGAAGGAAAAGATTTTTTGGACATTGAGAAATATAGAGTGGGTAAAGTTGTAAATATTGAGCTTACTTATTACATTTTCATCAAAGAGTACCTTGCATTTACGCCCAAGAAAAATGTTCAAAGACAATGAAGTACTGATGAACAGAAACCGCTGTTGTTTACTCTAGTGGCATATACCTGCAAATGAAGTGTTCAATCTACTCATGTAGGCCAGTTAAAATGCTATGAATGTTTGTTTTGATCACAAATTAAGTAATAAACTTTATATTTCAGTTTATTTTATTCTAAATCAAATGACAGATTACTCTATCTGTATAAAAATACCACAAAGTCAGAACTCTTTAGTGTGCAGTGTATAGTAGGCTCTTAAGGAGAGGAACCGGTAAGTTGTTAGAACTTGTTTCCAAGCCTTTTGATTTCAATTCGTACGTTAATTCGATATATTCCTTTGACCTTTAAATAAAAGACACCCCAAAGTCTGACACATCTGTTTCATATCTGGATAATTTACTTGAGAAAGATATTGATGGCGAACTTACAACAAAACTTTATTATAAATGTGATGACTCCAACATTTCTATCAACTTTCTTTATTCATGTAGCAGTATACCATTATCACCTGCAGTTTATTCCTAGTTGATTCGATACGCAAGAGCATGTTCTACTTACGAACAATTTCTAAAACGAGACAAGCTATTGACAAATAAGTTGATGATAAAAAGATATCAACATCTTGTTTAAAGTCAGCATTTCGCCAATTCTATGGTGGATACAATGACCTTGTCAGCAAATACAGTCTTCGTTAAGAATGATGACTGACGTTTTTCATGCAAATTGTTAGACACTTATTTTCACATCGAATTGTTTACGGATTTTTCTGCTTATCCGATCATGACAAGGAGCACTTGGGTGTGTGTCCAGTCGACAGGATATGCTTACTTCCCTATGGCACCTGATCTCACCTCTAATGGCTTAAGAGATCCGTGTTTGCTCTACTCTCAATTTTTAGAGTTGATTTTAATTCCACATCTGGTAAGCCAACATTTACTCACAGTTCCTTTTCAAGGGTGAAATTCTTCAAAATCTCTATTCAGTTTTAAAACTTAATATTCCAGTCGATGGAAGTGAGTTTGGTTTATCGGACTAGATTACTGGATCCAAAATTTACATTTTTTTTTTTTTTTTTTTACAAAAAAAGATACCGTATAAGTGGAATTTTTAGGGAGAGCCATTATATAACTACCGTGAAAGGTAAGTTTCACTTCCTATTCAGAATGAATTATAAGCGATATTCAATTATAGCGACCTCAACACACTCGCTAATAATGCCAAAATTGAATCCTCGCTAAAAGTCAGCTTATACGGTATATTGCAGGGTCCAGTAAATGTTCAACCAAGCCACTATCCTTACTTCTCACCAAAATATTAACACAGTTAATATTTTGATGAGAAGTAAGGATAGTATGTTGTAGCATAATACGTCTAAAGTTTCTCTTTCACAGCAGTTAATAACTGCTGTGAAAGAGAAACTTTAGACGTATTGTGCTACAACATATTCAAGAAGCGTTTTTAATTATATATGGATTCTAATAAAACTCCAAAGAACTTTAGGAAAATTTTAAAATATCAAAACTTTTCAAACATCAATAGCAACAAAAGATATGACTTTTCTATGCTTTATACAACCGTTCCTTCTGATAAATTAAAGAGCAGGCTTTTTGACACCATAGACAACTGCTTCCTTAATAAAAATGAAACTCGTAAATTTTCCTATCTTGTGATTGGTCATCTGTAAAATTACTGTTAAAAATCATTCTTATTCTACATAGAAGTACTCTAAAGTTGATATTAAAAATACATGTATGCTGAAGTTATTCATTTACAATATCTATGAAGTTTTTGGAGACCAGGTCTTCCAATAATCTGTTATAATTCCGATGGGTAATAATTGTGCTCCTTTGTTAACCGGCCTGTTTTTATTTTCCTATGAAGCAGAATTTATTCAAAAACTACTACGCGAGAAGAAGAAAACTCAACTCGACTTTAAGATATATCAACGATGTTTTATCAATCAACAATAGTTCCTTTCATTCATATTTCGACTTGATATATCCCAGTGAACTTGTAATAAAAAAAAACACCACAAAGGCGGCCACATCTATTTCATATTTGGATGTTTTACCGAATATAGCCGATAATGGCCAACTAATAACTAAACTAACTATGACAAACGGAATGATCTCAGGTTTACCATATTAAAATTTCCTTATTTATGTAGTAATATTCCAATATCACCTGCATAAGTTTATGTCATCAACTGATTCGATATGCAAGAGCAAGCCCCGAGTACGATGAATTTTTAAATAAAGGCAAGGTACTGACAAATAAGATGATGTTACAAGGATTTTAACAACCCCATTTATAGTCAGCTTTTTGCAAATTCGTTGTTTGTAAATTCAACCTTTCTTTGGGCTGTATTTTGTCTGAAATGTTTCATACCACATGTTAGGTCATTGTTTTGTTTTGACTACGGAGTACTCCGTTTACCTGATCAATACAGAGAGCCGGGGTGACCGGTCAACAGGGGATGTTTACTCCTCTCAGGCACCTGATCCTGATCCCATTTCTGGTGTTTATAGGAGTCCATATTTTTGTCCCGTTAATTATTCGTTTTGTCTACTGTATTTATGAAATGGATTATCTCCCCCTTTTACATTATAATGTTTCAATGGACTTTGAGCTTGACTACTGTTCGTTATCTTCATAGTTCGACAGATGCATTATCATTGGATGATATAACAAAATGCCAAAAGTGTGGAAAAATATATTTATGTAACAATGTAATGCATAGAAAATTAATTCATTGAAAACAGATAACAACTAAGTCCGACAATAGTGAATAATAACACAGGGTAATACATAAAGAAGTCCCGGAAGTGACGTAAACAATGATGATGCAGACGATCTTTGTGACTTGGCAAAACGGTCTAAAATGGAAAGTACACAAGAATTTAATATTCATATTCTAATTAATAATTAGATATAGAAGTATTATTGCATAAATTGTATGTTATATTTGAAACAAGATAGCTTCCAATTTAATCATACCACATTTTATATCTCAAAATCCCGATTATAGGTTACGCAATACAGTCAGAGAAACTATTATATTCCGCATCACAACAAAAATAGGAATGAAAACAGAAAGTGACACTGTGAAACTCCTTGGTACTTACTTGGTCGAAATATTCTTTGAAAATTTGCTTTCCTATATGTTCAAAAATTAGAGAAAATTTTTTTTCAATGTATTCAATAAGATGTAAAGAAAACAAGAACATCTTACCTTCGCTATCTGTTCCTCGCTTGGAGTTTATAGACCTTGCTGGAATAAAAGTTATACAAGTTATGAATACCGTGAAAAGAATTAAGATTCCATAGGAGAACACAGGTTAATATTGTGAAGATTTACGAGAGAAGAAACACCGCTAATATCTATGAAGCACACTACTGGCATTCAACATATTGGCAGAGACTGTATCCTATTGTACAACAATGTAACAAACGGCTACAGGAAGTACCAGGGAGATTTCACATCATACCAATTGGTGACCAATCAAAATAAACAAAACACAATATACTAAGGTGACTGACCAATCAAAATAAAGGAACTTGTCAAGAATCGGCAAAATTTCACTGAAAATATATTATGACTGTAAAATTTGCAATAAAGATTGCATCTTAGTTTTGAAGCGATGTCATAAGTAAACACCCAGAGTATATTGTCTTATAAATATCGGTGTGGTGACTAGACAGGGGATCATAACGTCTTGCTTGTGGAAAAAGGGAATACATCAAATTCCAAATGAAATCGGGAATCAACTAATAATGCATTTACATTTAAAGCAACGACGAATTTTCAATGCAGTTTCTTACCACTTAAAACATGAATTTTTGTGTTGCTGATCTGGGACTCGGACGTCCGACAAACGTAAGTTCCGGCGTCCTCTAGTTGTGCATTTGTAATTGTCAGTTTACTAATTATCACCTTTTCTACAAATGAGGAATACTTTGTTATAGTGGTGCGCGAATTTTCTCTGACTTTATGTCCTTCTATAAACCAGTCTATGTCTCCCGTCGGAAAATCTATGGCTGTTGCATTGCATATCACCGTTATAGTACGACCCACTTCAACAAAGTTGGAGCTAGTCGTAATGTATATGTCTGCAATAATAAGAATAACGGGCAAAAATCACAACATCAAATTCATTCCACTGTTTCTATACATCGATAAACAAAACAATATTGACAACCAAAGTAAATCAAAAAAATAAATTTTCTTAATATATGTACCAATTCATCGAAAATGTTTATCTAAAATAGGGACCAAAAGAGTAAAAACAACTTCAAGCATGGAAGATCATTATCAAATCATGATATATACAGGCCTAAGATGTGGACATCTGGAAAATTACATCTACTATTAGAAATCATGCAAAAAATTGATTTAACAAAACACATTGCTTTGTTTGACCACGGACCACCGACTTGTTTTTTGGAACTTATATTAGAAATTAATTTTGTACGAACTTCGTGAGTGAGCAGGCGTTTTAAAATTGGATCAATTATTCAGCATATTGGAAAAATGATCATAGTGATTTACTTTGTTCGTCAGCAAGAATAATTATCTTGTTTATATCTTCATTAAAGGCTTTGAATAATTCAAATGGATCTTCTCCAGTTTATATTGATATAATTCTGTAAACCAAACAGTTTTCATCAAGTTGATATATCATCATAATGAAAGAGTGTAAATGCTCCAATTTGAAATAAATCTTTGATCACGAAAGCTACTTTCACGCTACCTGGCGGAGAAAATGTTTTCTGGGTCGTTGTAGATGGCGCTTCTGAAAGAGAAAAGAACAAATATTGATATTAAGCTTCATTATATTAAAAACAAATAAGTTAATAAATTAAATCATTTAAAGAATCAGACATGGAACACAGTGGGAGAGGGGTTTTGGTCGTGACTTTAACCATAAAATGAACGTGAGAAAGAATTCCAGGGAGACGCGACACAATAACACGTTTATCTGATCAACTGATCCAATGAGGCCACACAGTAAATGATGAATGAAAAGAGAACTAGTTCAAAGAGAGTACAAGTACAAAGAAGATTGTCTTTTTCGTGACAAATGCCATGTGCTCATTGTGTTTTGTCTGTTTTGTATTAGACGAAAAGTTGTTCAAGAAAAAAAAAATACATTGTGACCACAACACCAAGAAACTTTTTGACTCCGGAGTAAAATGTTTATGATTCATTGAGAAGACTCCATTACAATTCTACATGACAGCATTGTAATCATCTCTGTTGATACTAATATTATATAATTACTGTTTTGAAGTCAATGCCATTATATATAGCCACTTGAGGAGAACAATATTCACCGAGCTCGAACGGCGAGGTGAATATTGTACTTCGAAGGTGGCTAAATCATCGTATTGACTGAGAAACAGCAATTACTGTTTTATAATATGATTCAATAATAATTAAATGATACAAACTTATTAAGCAGACGTTGCTATCTGTCTTGATTGTTAACATTTATTGAAGTCCTAGCCGAACGCAGTGATAGAAGCAGTGAAATCTTATGTTAAAGTAAGAGTTTACAGAATTCCTTCATTTGAAAGTTACGGTCGGAATATATCTTCAGACTTGTTCAAACGAACTGAGGTCAATATTATAATAAACGTTACTAACTGTATAAATTTGCAATTTCTTTATCTAGTTTTAGTGCGAATAAGAAAAAAAATAAATTTTATGTTTACCTGGAAGTGAACATAAAATTTCATAACTAATTATTTGTATCAATTTAAAAGTTCTCAATTTTTATTGTCCATGCAATGTAAAAAAAATATATATATAGTCACATGTTTGGTCTCGTACAGGTGAACATAACCTAGTATGATTTCAAAAAATGTTGGATCTCTGCCAATCAGAGAGCTAGGAAGTATTCAATCATCTAGTACAATAAATTTTTACACTTATAAGACAGAGTTTCCTGAGATACACATCGTTTGCCTTTCAGACTGATGGTAACATTTTCATCTTGACACATATATGTTGAAAACTTCAAAATCATGCATGAGGCAACTCAGTCATATGAGATAAAGAATGAAATAGAAAAGAGAATCTGCTTCGTTTGAGAGAAAGCAGACTCGGCGAAAACTCACCAAGGACGTTAAGGAGGACGAGTCGCCTAGAGCCCGCTCTTTCTTTGGCACTTATTTGGCATTCGTACACACCTGCGTCATTGATATTCACGTTCTTAATCATCAGATTCCAGCTGCCTCGATATGGAATATGTTGCACGTGATATCTATCGTCTGGTACATAGATGTCCAGTCCAACGGAAATAGGATTCGGCTGAGAGGTCCGCCGCCATACCACCTGCGGAATTATACATTGATACAAATGTATGTGTAATGATTGCAAATGCAACATCAATTAAATCGGTACATTAACAATGATAAAATCAAATTAATGAATAATTTAAATATTTATCTTGCATATTCAAGGAATTTCATGTATATTCTTTGAAATCTGAAATCCCTTAACTGTTAGAAAAAATAAATCGAATCATAATCCCTAGGTAGCATCAATAACATGGAGTTAAGAGAGTATATTTCTTGGTGAAAACGAATATCCAAACTATTTAGTATTTTTCCCCTTTTTAGAATGTTTTTTTTTAATGGAAATCTTTTAGCGACACTGTATATTAGAACATGATCTGTGGACCTCATTTCTGTGGAGAAGACGTGTTATCTGTACAACCCTCTTTGTTCCCTAGAGAAGAAGATATCCTTTAATTCCTCGAAAGCTAGCACTCATAAAACGAATTTTGGAGAAAAGATTTTAGAATAATTGTATTAAGCCCACAATATCATTCACTGGTTTAAAAAGCTTGAATTTATTGATACTGATATGTAATTGATGCTTAATTATTTCTCATACTGATCCATTTCATCTCCCAATGCACATAAATCGCGTTATAGTCTTAATCATGACTTTACATTGATCTCTCGAGGCTTACCCTGTTCATCATTGATACTGACTAAAATTCTATGTTTTGTATAGGGTTACTAGACAAAAATGACTCTTATAGAAAGCACTGAACGCACATTTAATTAATTCTTACAAAACATAATATTCCTATTTCATGATATGCCTGATTCAATTCATTTAATAAGAAATATGGTATGTACAACCTCCAATACTTTGGACATGGCGGTAAATAGACAATTTCTCAGGGTAACCCCAAATTACACCTCTACGACTAATTATATTGACTGTCTTTTTATTTTACTAACCACTTTGGTGCCTAGGTCTTTGACCCTACAGTAGAGCGTCGCCAGGTCGCCTGCTGTGTAGGTAAAGTTGAACTGTATGTCCATGAATTCTGTGGAGTGGTGCTGCTGACACAGAGACATACCTAGAAATAGAGAGAATGTATCAGTGTCACCAGATAATCTAACTACAACTAGAACTGACATAGAGACATACCTAGGATAGAGAGAATGTATCAGTGTTATCAATTCTCAGATAATCTAATCACATCTAGGGAACTGACACACAGACATACCTAGGATAGGGACAATGTATCATTTTCAACTATCAGATAATCTAATCACAACTAGGGAACTGACACACAAGCATACCTAGGATAGGGACATTGCATCAGTGTTATCAACTCTCAGATAATCTAACTACATCTAGAGAACTGACACACAGACATACCTAGGATAGAGACAATGAATCACTGTTACCAACTCTCAGATAATCTATCTACAGATAGAGAATTGACACAGAAACATACCTAGGATAAAGACAATGAGTCTAATCTAATCACAGCTAGAGATATATCATATAGACATTGGTAGGATAGAGAAAATGAATAAGTGTTATCAACTGTAAGAAATTTTAACTAGACAGCTAGAGAGATATGACATAGAGACATAGCTAAGGATAGAAAGGTGGAATGAATGCCATCAACTGTCAAATAGTCTAATCTACAGCAGGAAACTGACACACAAACATATCTAGGATAGAAAGAATGTATCAGTGCCATCAATTAGTTTATAACTACAGCTGGAGAATCACAAGGTTCTCAGTGTGTCGGGAGGCGTGTTGATTTAGGGAGACGTATAAGGCAGAGATTGATGTCATCAGCATTTATCTCTTTACAGAGCACTATATTTTAGTACACTAAAAAACTGACAGGTACAAACCAGTTCTGTTTACTATTATTTATCACGACTAATTTATAATTATTTGTATCAGAATTTTGTAATTTTAAAGTAGAAAATGTAAGTTAATCAATGACAACACTTTAAAAAGACAGTTGACAACAAATGTATTTACAAAAGATAAAGCCATTCTTTGTACTGAAAGTTTGATCAGAAGTTAATTATTCTGGATTTTACATGTTCTCTGCTCTCTTTTATCTATAATTACAGAAATAAGAGAGCAATTGCCATAACGATTAAAGGTATCTTAAACGAGTTCATGTATTATTTTGTTTTGCATTTACTAATGATTAAAACATTTTTGCAACTTGAGAAAATAAATAAAAAAAATATGCAACAGGAAGAAGCTTGACGTGGAACAGCTTTGTTCTCCGCAGAAATAACAAACTGGCAAAATCCCAGATCATAATTGAAAAATGAAACTAAAGTATTTTCACCGGATAACTAAACAATGAAACATGAAGCATATTCAGCATAAAGAATATTACAGTGTCAGAAGTTATGTACGCGCTGACTGTGAATTAAGAAATATATCACCACGACGTTCTTTTACAAGAGGTTGTGAATGAACCGGCATAGTAAACGAGCTTTGTACCTTCTATTAATACAGTAAGACCATGAAGAAGGTTCCTACTGAGCTAATTATATATTTTTGTGATATAATTTTATAGTTAAGTTCCTGTCGAGAAGATGAATCTAATCTGATAAATTTATGAAGAAAAAAGTCATTTTCCTGATATACAAGAATGGGAATTTTGGAATATTTAAGATACCTTTTGTACAGTAGGAACTTCTTATAAACTGGAAGAAGCGTTTTACACCATCAATGAAATTGATCAGTGAAAAATGAGGAAAAATATCCAATTAAAATAACTCTATTCCAAGTATAACCCCTCCAGGCATTATGGTTATTTTACATAGTATTTATTTGCTTGTAAATTAATCTGTATCGATCAGACATCTTTAACAGCTGTTGTACTTCTCAGACAGTTAGTGGAGAAGACAAGAATAAGTGGGCAGAAACTCTTGACCGAAAGCCATAATGAAAGGAACCTAGCACCTGCTCAAGACAGATTCACAAATAAAAACGCGAAAAAATTGTCTTTGATCGATTTGCCTTCATAATTAAATCAAGACAATTCCCAGCACATTACATCATGGGTTTGAAGGATGAAGATCCAAATTATCAAAAAAAAATGAGAGGCCCGTGGACCACAACGCTCACCTGAGTAACTTTAACCCTGCTTTTCTTCAAAAGATTTTCCCCTTGTGAAACTTATTGTGGCCCCATCTTACCCCTGGGGAGTCATAATTTGAACAATTTAGAATCTACACTACCTCAGGAAGCTTCCACGTACACGCAAGTTTCACCTTTTTTTAGCCCGGTAGTTCTAGAAAAGAAGATTTTAAAGATTTCTCCTATATATTTCAATGTAAATTTTTGATTCCCTATTGTGACGCTAACCCCGAAGGCCATGATTTAAACAATAAAGAACCTACACTACCTCAGGAGGCTTCCACATAAGTTTCAGCTTTTCTGGCCCGGTGGTTCTTCATAAGAAGATTTTTCATTACCCGACCCTATTTTTGTCTTTTCTTGATACGTGATTATCACCCCTTGGAAGAGGGCTTGGCCCTTCATTTAAACAATTAAAACTTCCCTTTACCCAAGGATGCTTTGCACAAACTTTGGTTAAAATTGGCCCAATGGTTCTTGAGAAGAAGTTGAAAATGTGAAAAGTTTACAGACGGACGGACAACAGGTGATCAGAAAAGCCCACTTGAGCTTTCAGCTCAGATGAGCTAAAAATCTGAAATTAATATTTTTTAGAGGGATTTAAGTATGACGAAAAGAAAAGATATTGTTATTGATAAAAATGATATTATAAACGATTCTTTCTTTTAAAGAGGGCTAAGATGGTCAAGTTCTGATACCAAAGAGTTTCAGCACACATCTGTCAAAATAGAAGTTCGATGATATCAGAGTTACGGAGGACAATTGTTCAAGTAATTGGCTGCATTTGATTATTTGGCTCAATATATCACAGACGGGAAGGGTAATTTAATAGTCACAATCACATAAAATTTTCCGATTGGATATAAATAAAAAATAAGCCCATGTTAACCGATACCACCCAATTTCCTGTTGGTTTTCTTTGTTAAGCGATCTGTTTCTCGGCTGCCCTCTTGAGTTTTTACAGTCCATTTCAAATCTGTCTCGATTGTTTCGGAGGAGTTATCGAGTTAGCTAAATATACTTTTCCTTCATATTACACCGTTTACATCAATGTCTATCCAAATAAAATGGAAAATAAATTTGTTATGCTTAAAAAATACTGTTCCATATTTTCTTCCTGTTTCTCGCTCTTTAAAGAAAATGGAAAAAACGATTCTCTAAATGGAAAATTGAGACTTTCTTAAAACTTCCAGATACAAAATTTTGGAAATATGAAGATGAATTTAATCTATATAAATAAGAATCATTATATTTCAATGTCTGTTTAGTGAAAATTGAAAATGGCACTTGTATGGTCTGGGTGTCAGTGTTTCAGGGCTACATGTACCTAGTAGGCTAGTACATTGTATCTTATTAGGAATGCATCTACCTAAAAACACTTCTTGAAAATAAATTTGTAAACTTTTGCAAATATTGTATACTTTAAAACTTCATGTTTAACTGTGATGATTTAAATGTGTAAATTACATGTAGGGAGAGGGCGTAAGAAGTTTTCAGAACCTGTGCCCAATCCCTTTGTAATTATAAATTACAATAAAATGTGTTCTAACCGAAAATGAGACAGTATGAGTGTAGAATTATGCGAGTGATCTATGTCCTAGAATCTATTTGAAATCAACAACTACTGAGGTCGATAACTTCGGAGTTTATGACTAGAAAATCCCTGGACTGTTACTCACGAATGCTAAATTACTGAAAAATATGTTAAAAATATAGACAATAGCTCAACATTTACTCTTGTTCTATAACTTACCAATATTAACAATTCATTTTCTTGATTTTGTAGACTCATGCGCTGTTAATGTTCCAAAATCAGATCTGACGTTTGATTCAAAAAATACAATTTTAACATTCTCCCACCACTTAATCATGATTGGAAACTAACACTGAGTATTAAACACCCTCATATGTTAATGTTTAATGATTTTAACTATTTCATATGTGATTGTAATGCCACTTCTGAAGTTTATAAATACTTTAATCTCTTTCCTTCTTTTTTTTCTTTAAGTTAATGAGCTGCAGAATAAATGATTTTCCCTAGTTATTTTTTTACAGGTAGCCAGTTAAAAGGCTTCAAAGACACTAGGTGGTTATTTATATTTTGGAAAACTTTCCCAATTCCTGAAGTTAAAAGACAAAGAATGGTCAGTCATGATTAACACATGTTAGAGATTTGCAACGGATCTCTGTAGAATACATGTAGTTTCTTATGATACGTTTTCATATTATGTATAAAGTACATGTAGCTCTATGCATATGTCCGTTGTTATGCTTTTAAATTGATGTAGTTGTATGTACGTTGTAATGCTTAATTGATGTAGCTGTATGTACGTTTTAATGCTTTTAAATTGATGTAGTTGTATGTACGTTGTAATGCTTAATTGATGTAGCTGTATGTCCGTTGTAATGCTTAATTGATGTAGCTGTATGTCCGTTGTAATGCTTAATTGATGTAGCTGTATGTACGTTGTAATGCTTAATTGATGTAGCTGTATGTGCGTTATAATCCTTTACTCATGAGCTGTATCTACTGTAACAAAGATTTTTGTATCAACCTTTAAACATAAGATAATTTTACTACTACTTTTTTTTTTACAGAAAATTCTCATTTATAATTATTAATTTACTTAACTAGGCCTACTTTGCTCACTAAGAACATTGAGAACAAAAATGAATTTAGTCACTAAATAGTAAGAACATAAAGCATAATATAGCGCTAAAAATAGCAATCTCAATTATTTGCAGTTCACTTTCTAAGGATGAAATTCTTCAAATTCACATTTCAGTGTTTAATACTTTTAACATTCTAGTCAAACAAGCTTGTGTTCTAGAAGTGATGTAAATCTTACGTGGACTCACAAAACCCCCCACAGACTTTTCAGAAAAATTAGAATTACAAAATTTCTCAAACGTCAGTAACTTCAAAATGTACTTTTTTTATTTACACTT